ACTTAATGTGCATGCATCGTCTTTCTCAGGACAATTTTGGAGAATTTATTTTATTGACTTATTTATTCATTCATTTGTTGGTTTACTTATTTATTATTGGTTGATTGACTTTTTTTTGGCACCTGACATTATAAAACAATAAAATAGTTTCAATGCAAGGAAAATATCAGAGGCATTCCGAATATGTTGTTCATCTTGCGTTCGCCGTTCGTTCACCGTGTTTGCGCTCCGTTCGCGTTCTGCGTTCGCTCACCGTTCACACATCGTTCACCAAGTTGAGTTCAGCGTTCACATATCGTTCACTCACTGTTCGTTCAGCTTTCGTTCAGCGTTCGCTCACCGTTCAAGTGGGAAAGTAGAACGTTTCAGGGACTGTAGTATATATATTTACTATAGTAAACTATATATCGGCAAAATTTTTTGGAGGTGGGTGGGTGGGGGGGGGGGGGGCTCCCCCTCCCGTGCCCCCGGTTCCTACGGCCATGGGTTAATGGTTATATGAATGAGCCGATGAAATTTGACAGCCAGACTAGCTGGACTTTTTTGATAATCAAGGATATTATAGCTAACCGATTGAAAATTTCTTCTCTGCGTGAACAACGAAAGGTAGGGAACGTTTGGAACTTCCTGTCCAAATACGACTTGAACGATTTTGTCCAAAATGCGCATACACATTGTATATATAGTCATGTATAATATATACAGAAACAGCGAAAATTAAACGACAAGAAATTTTTGGTGGTGGGTGTGTTGTATGTCCTTAACAAGCCGTCACTACATTGTTCTTCCTGCTTGTTGTCAAGCATTTAGGATCTATTCATGTTGAGGGATTACTTAATGTTTAAATTCTTTTCCACTTGAAAACTTCCATAGTACCAAAACAATTTTAGATTCAGATATTTTTTTCTTCCTAGTTTGGAGAAGATAATACGAGTATAAAAAGTCTATCTTGTCTATTTTGAGAGGAACATTGTGTTAACTAATATTTCTAAAATAGCTGAAAAACTTGTCTCTAATTCTTTTTCAGCTTTTCTTAACGGTAAAAATTAAACACAATGTGATTTAATACACACAGAATACGATATATTAATTTGATTTTTTTGTTGATGCTGTTAATTAAAGAAATGTAATTTACTCTATAAATATAAGTAATAAATTAGGACACATTCAATCCGCAGTACTGATTGTGATAAATGAATGTTATGCTTCAATTAATGTATTTCAAGAAGTATAAAATGCAGTTCATATCGGTGTACAACAGGAAAATTAAATATAAGGCTAATGCAGCTTTATGGACAAACTACCTTAACAGAGAGATTTAAATTGGCTTTTCACTTTCTTCCTTATGTTAAATGTCGCATTTTTATCTTAATTATTCGTTTGACTCTCTTTTCTTTTCTGACTATTTTGTATATCTACTAGTATGCATCTTATTTTTTCAGGTGTAAACGGACGCCAGAAATAAATTGTTTATTTTTTTTTTTTTATTATTTATTTATTTATTTTTTTTGTTGTTGTTGTTGTTTTGTTTGTTGCTTTTTTTTTCTTCCATTTACGTTCTTCCGCCATTTTTTCTTTATCTGAGTTATTGTATGTCAGGCAAGACGTATATGGCATTTCTTAATACAGTGTATTTTAAATGTCTCTTTCTGATTTATCTGATGTTCTTGCAATATGAATTTAGATCTACATGTATTTCCTCAAAATATCTTCGTTTTTAAGATACTAGACAGTAAGCATATCGCAGATTTCACTATGTATGTATACAAGGGGTGATCAGAAAGTTCGCGAACTAATTGCATTTCTTCTTTAAAAGAAATAAAATGAGGTTTCAGTGTTTATTATTTTTTAAAGTACTGTAGTCCTCTCCGATTTCAATGCTCATCTGCCATTGTTCTGCCCTTGTGCGAATCACGTGATCCAGGCAGTCACGTGGCATGCTCCATTGCAGTCTGTTCAGAGATGCTAATAGATTTTTCCGAGTCTTGTATTTCTTACCATGGAAGCTATTTTTTTTATAACAAGAACAGTCATTCTGACAGAAATGGCCAAATCCCGGCAATAGGATGGATGGATAAGGCTATCGCTTCCCACAATTAGTATGGTGACCCATCGCAACCCGAGTCCTCTGTCTCGGGAGCGTCGTTTATCCAATGTGGATAAAGTCTGGGCGCCTTCTTTTTATCATATCTCATATGTTTAAAGTCTAAAGTAAATGATATTTTAGGGATATAATAATTATATTATTGTTAAGATATTCAACCATTATCCTAATTGTAACTTGACGATATTTCATAACAAATTGCTCAACTAATGACGCATCTTTTCCCCTGCTTGCTTTTGCTGGGCTACAGAACAAACATCATTTTTAACCATCTCACTCTCTTCGCTTAGACAATCAATCCAATTATTGATTGAACTTCTGGTAAGTCGTCTGTCCTCATTAACCTTGTACAAATTATCATATTGTACTGCAAAGGAATTTCCAAGATATACGTTAATATTTAGAGCCGTTCGTTGCTCGAGTACGACTGAGTCAACCATTTTTGGTCACAAGTGACCTACATATTGACGTCATTTTCACATTGTGACGTCACAAACACTGAGCAAAACATTATTTAACATCTGTTATCTATAGAACATGTGCATGACTATGTGTGTGCCAAATTTCATTCTGATTCGAGTTGTGGTTTTGTAGATATAGAAAAAGTTCGCGAACTTTTTGATCACCCCTCGTATATGACTTTTAGCTAAATCTCTTTTCATACAAGTTCTCTTTAGATCTATTTCCTGTCAAATGTAGTATGTTCAAGTACTGGAAAATAGGGATATTGCACATATTGCTGCCTTTTTAGGTATCAATAATATGATTTTCATACTGTTATGTTTTATTCATATTTCCAAACATTAATCTCCATGGTGTCAAGAAATTAGGAACATTGCCAACTTCATAATAGAACGATAACGTATATTCTGTCTTGATTAGGCTTATAATCATAATTTTTTTTTCCATTCAATTATAAAGATTTCAATCTTAATGTTTTTAGAATATGCAAGTAGACATTTGGGAATGTAGAGACTACTAGTGCGGCTGTATAAAATCACTAGACCTACAACTAAAGTATATTAGCGAGTGGAGCTAAGATAAGGAGTGTATTTAGTATAAAGACAGAAAAAAAGAAAAGCATTACGGAGATAGAGATAGTTGTGTGGATAACCTTATATTGAGGTTTATTCTAGCAATACTAGGTCGATTGCCTGGTGGTGAAAGCTTGCTGCAATAAATACGTAGTTTTGCACTAATAATCAGTAATGTTACATGTAGCTATTATTTTGCATTGACTTATGCGAGTTAGTATTCATAGGTACACTTAAATCAACATTACACGCACTAAAACAAATTCCAAAGAAATGAATTAAAAAGATCAATGGCTGATATTAAAGTTGATTTTTTTTATGCTGCTTGCTATAGTATGAATACTTTGATTAAGCATCTTCTGCAGGTGTTACATTTTTGAAGAATAATTTTAAGAAAAACGTTTTAAGAAGATGCTGATACTGTGAAGTGTTTATTCTAATATAATATTAATATGTCTAAGACCTACATTTAAATCCTCTCTCTCTCTCTCTCTCTCTCTCTCTCTCTCTCTCTCTCTCTTATTTCAATGTTCACGGTCAAAATGTATTTCGCATAAAATTGCAATATCTCCATGATACCATTAATATAGTTTGTGAATGTTATTAGATTACAGTAAATGTCTTGGTGATTATAAGAAAATAGTCAAATAAATATTTCTCTGTATTGACATCGTAATTAAATGCTTAAAACAAAAATCACTCATAAAAAAGTCACCAAAATAAAATCGATTAGTTAACAATTACTTTACATTAGTTAACCTAATGGAAAATAAAAAAAAAAACTACAAGTGGGAATAAATCTTTTTAGACTTCAATGTGCAATAAAAGACACTTAATAATCTAAATCGTAGTGTAATGCACTTCATAATTCAATGCAGTTTGCATACTTTTTTTTTTTAGTCCAAGTGAGATTTAGGATGCCCATGCAATTATCCCGATGTAAAGGCTGCCCATCGCGTTAAACTCCATTTCAAAAAGACATCTGAAGCCCGCATTTGTTTTAATATACATAAGTACAAGTAATTTGCAACAAGAACTTTATACTACAGATTCTAGGAATATGATATCATGTGCCTAACTTGACGCCACAATCGTTGTCAAGAATCACAGTATACTGATAGCCGCCCGCGTGGCGCAGTGGTTAGAACATCTGCTCTAGAGATGCGGAGTTAGGAGCTGATTCTTAAGGTTTTTTCCACCCTCCTGTGATATCATAGGTTTTAGCAAAAGGTGTTATTAATTCAAATTCATACCCAATAGAAAAATATCTTTCAGAGGAATGTTTTTCAATACTTGAAATGATCCTGTGTAATTGCATGAGACTGTACAGTAAAATGAGATCCTTTACTGCTCAATGTCTTTGATTGCCGAGTATAAGTGTAAATTTCTGGCCTTCCAACGGTAACCGGCGGACTGGTGGTGTCTCCATATGAGCAAAAAATGAGCAAAAATTACTATTTGTTCGAATAATATCCGGGTTTCTTGATAGGTCATAAATGAAATCACTTTTACATCGAAATATTTTTTTTCAGAGAAATGACCTGATGCGTTTTTAATTAATAAGCAGCGCAAGCATATTTTAATGCATTTCTTGCTGCTTTTCCAATTTACACTTATTAGTCGAGCTTGATTATTATTCATTATCTCCATTTTTCATTTATTGCAATCTTCATCCTATTTGTTTTTTAGTTCATCAAAGGAACTAAATTCCAGAGTTAGCATCTGTGAATTGCCGATATCTATTAATAGAGTGTTGAGAATATGAAAAAAAAGTATGTCTTAATAGGAAACTTGTTTACTTGTTCTATGTTTTATGTTCAGTTGGCAAACTTTTCCACTTCCTTGTCAGAATTCGGGACACGATGTTCAGTAGCGCATTAATGTGGTTTTTCTTAAATACAATTGGCTATACCCGTGGATATGGTAAGTTGTATTATTTATACTGAGAAAAACAAACAGTCATAAAAACCTTTATATATTAGGGAATTGACACCTGCAATATTTCACTTACATTAGTTAATAGTATTCAATTTCTTAGTGCAAATATTTATTATCTTCAAAAGAAATTAAATTATTTTGAAAAAAAGAAAATGGTGAAAGATTTCCCTTTTTTAAAATTAAATAATAATGACTTTTTAAAAAAAAAAAAAAAAAAAAATATTTTTAAATAAAGTTAAATAAAGTTAACCAACAAGCCAATTGCTTTTTCGAAAAAAAAAAAAAAAAAAAAAAAAAAAAAAAAAAAAAAAAAAATCTTAGATAAAGGGATTACTTAAATAAAAAACATTGAATGTAACTTTTGTAACTTCTAAAAAATGTCAATTACATCGTTATTTCTGTTAAAGCATGTTTATAATATAACAAAAACGTTACACCTTTTCTTGCTGTTAATGCTACAATTCCGACACCAAACAAACATGTCCTTTTTAAATGATCGTTGTAAAAATGGAATGCTTTTTCTTAAGTATCCCGATCAAGGCGTATATTGTAATATTTTTAAATAATTATATATATTATCTTATATCATGTTAATAATATTCATAAAACTTTCACATCTGTTTTTTTTTTTTTTTTTTTTTTTTTTTTTTTTACATATTTTACATTTTTATAGAATGGCAAACAGTTTTAAATTAAGTATATGTAGTTCTTTAAACAATGTATAGAAATATGAAAAGAGACCTTTATACAGATTGAGAATAAGAAAGCATGCCACTGCAATTCATCCATGCAGTTTTATCTAAGTTACCTTAATTATTTTGTATATTTTTGTTTCTCCTAAGATGGTATATGGAAGATTCTAACTTTAAAAAAAATCTATCTGGATTTTTTCTGTTTCAGAAAACATAGCTTTAAATAAACCTACATACCTATCACATAGGTATTATAGTTTAACACACGCAGCTGCTACGTTCGACTCCAGTAATGCTGCTGATGGTCTTAAGACCGACCTATCAGGCTTCGGAGGACAGTGTGTTACATCAGCTGCTGGTCAGAAGTCCGCCACCTGGTGGGTAAACCTAAGGCTTACAACCATCTACAGTATTCATGATATAAGGATATATTACAAGACTGATAATGCAAAATGGGGTAAATATACTTATACTTCACAATATATAGGTATTTATCATCACCAAATAGTTTTACACATTCTCCTCATAAGGCTGATATAATTACATTGTACAGGTTGGACAATCCGACATGGAGTAGAGTATGCTCCTCTTAACTTTGAACAATTAATCACTAAATATTTACTCTTTTGCTCATGCAGAAGCAGGGTTCTTTTCTGTTAACGGACGGTCAAGAAAATCTGTGTACCATTTAAAACTATAACTTAGCATATCCAGAATAAATAAATAAATAAATGAATATATATATATATATATATATATATATATATATATATATATATATATATATATATATATATATATATATATATATATATATATATATATATATATACTTGATCAAAGTTGAGGAAATTGGGCAACTTTTAAGTGAATAAATGTCTTCGGCCAAAAATAATGCATTTAAGTCATAGAAAACTTAAAAGATGTCAGAAAACTGAAATCTTTTTTAACAATTTATCAACGAGAAGCTTGGGAAAATTTTAAAATGCTGAAAATTGGTCGAGAATTTAAGTGCAAAACACTCGTGACACCAACAAAAGTGAGAACCTCTCAGAATCATGAGACAAATGCGACAAACGACCTTAGCATCCTATCCCTTTCCATCAATAAAATAGTATATCCGAAGCAACTGAAGTGATTCAAACATGACGAAATCAAATCGAACTCGGAATGCTGATGTCGTGATATTAATAATTACGACTCAATGTTATAGAACTGATTTTTTTATGATCACAAACAACAAATTGATGGTCAAATAAAGTGTTTTTCATTAGAATATTCATATTATGCATAAAAATTGGCTTTTTGAAAGTTCTTCCGACATTGGAAATTTACGACATACCTATGCCGTTATCGTTAAAAGATGGTCACTTACATTTTCAAAGGAAAAAAAAAACCCGCTCTATATTCGGTGTATTTATATACAAGAAGTGTATGGATCTTTTCTGTTTTGTATCTTACAACAACTATTCAGGCGATTTCATATCTGGATACATGATCACAATGTTCATCATGATTTTCACGTAAGTACTTTATGTAGTACAGTAGAATTTTTTTAGTGGTAATTTCATATGATGTGTCCCTTCTTACTATTCGGAATTTGTAAACATCATTATGAAAGTTATCTCAAATGCAGAAATAGAATCTGAAAAATGTACATCTGTTTTATCTTTTCGGTGAAATAAAAGGATACCCTCCACCCCCACCCCCACCCCCCCAAAAAAACAACCAAAAAAAAAAAAAAAAAAAAACAAAAACAAAAACAATCAAAACAAAACCAACCTTGATTGAGTCAATGGCATCAGTGAGTTCTGATTATGATACTAGTTACCATATTTTGAACAGTGTACGTGCTTTTTTTTTCACACAATATTTAAATTATTTACATAACTAAGAATATGCATACATTTTATCACAAAAATATGCATATTTGTCAATGACTAAAAACATGGGTCCTATGTTAATTATATTTAGAGAATATAATACAGATATTTAAGTTAACAGAATTAGTCTGAAAGGCCTATTGGTTATTGAGCTCATATTTTTCAAGGATAAATAATTTAATGAACATTTCAGTGGTCAATAGGACTAAAAAAAAAATGAGGAATTGAGGAAAATCTTACTCACAAACATGATGTAATGAAATAACATCAATAAAGATGCTGTTTGTAAAATATGCTGAAGGACAATTGACCAATTATATTCATATTAAAAAAATACATTGAGGATGTTTATGAGCTTGTACACTGGACACATTCATTTATTAGTTTTTGTTTGGATGAAAAAAAAAAATAGGGAATTAGATAAATGAACATGTTCTTGCATAGTGCATTTTTTTTTAATGGTACAATTGTGTTACAGATTGATAAATAGTAATAAACATTTTTTTTACATTAATTTCAGTTTATGTAATGAAGATGTTTGAGAAAAAGATGATCCTCAAAACAATATATAGGTTGTAGAGGCAATTGGGGATAGATGTGCATCCCAACTAGAAAACTGATTACACATTAAAAGTTTGTTTTGCCACTGACCATTTTCATTACTTATGGCTTTAAACGTTTACAAAAAGTAAATGAATTCCAGGTAATGATATCTCTATCAATGATGTAACTGTTTTGATGATATGTTAGTTTGTTTGCATGTTGTTTAACGTCCCTCTCGAGAATTTTTCACTCATATGGAGACGCCACTACTTGCCGGTGGAGAGCTGCAAATTTTGTCCTATGTTCGGCACTTACGGCCATTGAGGGTTCTTTTTCGTGCCAACACCTACTACGACACGGGACCTCGGTTTATACGGTCTCATCCGAAGGACAGGTCTCCACGTCCTGCAGTGGGATTCGAACCCGCGACGTAAGCTCTAACCACTGCGCCACGCGGGCAACTTTTGATGATATGAAAGATGAAGTAGAATTTAAATGTTGTTTTGTTAAAGAATATGATACATTCTTTTATTTGTACAATTGTGCTACTGTTTTCTGAATGTTCAAATTCAAGACAGTTGGAATTGACATTAATATATAGCGTTAAATACTGTTAAAGAAATGTCTATAAAATGCACTTGTAAATTGAATACCTATGTCTGGTTTATTATCTCAACAGGTTTTTTGAAAGCTGCCAAAGGAACAGTCAGATTGGATTACCTATCAATCTGCAGTCAAAATGTACAACCTTAGTTAACCCTTGGCAGTACTTTCCTTTTGATCAAGAAGCTCTGATTGATAAACCTAGAGGTTGAAACCATCAAGCTGGACATGAAATAATAAATAGATATCAATATTTGTGACAACAAAATAAAAAAAAAATCATAACTTTAACATTTGACCTCCTCATCCGTGTTATAATGTATTGAATGCTGAAGTTTCGCACATATTTTATAAACAGAATTCATTTGTATTGTAAACATTAATATATTCCGTAGGTTTAAAACTATTTGATTACAATTCTTAAATACTATTTTCATTACACATCAAAATAACAATAATATCTCAATACTGAGAAACTTTATTATAGTTATTACATGATTACGTGTATTATAAGTGTCCACCTGTCAGTAAGGCTGTAACTGAAGATTTTATTTTTCAAGCTGAGGGTCACATCTGGGGTTTTTCCCACAACTTGCCACCCTTGACTGAAATGTTTGCTCTAGCTGCTTCAAAAGACCTACATGTTCATCAGAAACATACCAATGAAAATCCACAGCAAGTCAAAAGATTCAAGTTCGAAAAAAAGGAAAGGAAAGAAACACTCATGTTCAAGATCACATAAAGAAGCTAGTTTAATTGGAATATGAAACAAACTGTGCAGAACCTCCCGTGTGATTAAAAACCATTCTGTATGAACAGAACTGCAGCGTAAATTATATACTCTTTTGAGATACTTATGATATATTAATGTCTGTTTTCTCCATGTGGTGTGCCCTTTTATGCTAATTTCGGTTAAAAATTGCAAAAGTTTTGCACTAATATTGTCAATTTATGCCCTGCCATGAAAATGGCAAGAACATATACGATTTTTTATGTCCGTTTTTCGTCCTTTCGTCCCGCTTTGAATTTAACTCAATTGAAAGCTCAGTTTCAAATAGACTATTCAAGATATTTTATCAAACTCCCAATGCTGATAGATATTGTGGAGAGCTATTCAAATGCATCAGCATTTTTGACCTTGACCTTTCTTTGACCTTGACCTCACTTTTCTTAAATTAGTGTTTAGCTCAGTTTTAAAGAAGTCATTCATGATATTTTCTTTTCTTCAAATTTCATCTGCATACTCATTACTGATGAAAGGTATTCAACTGTTCAACATTTGTTACCTTTCCTTTGACCATGACCTCACTTTTCTTAAATAAGTTGTAATTCAGTTTGAAATAAACCATTCAAGATATTATACCTAACTTAATTTGCTGATATGAATTCGTAAGAGCCATTCAACTGTATCAAAAACTGTTGATCTTGCACTTCCCAGTGACCTTGACCTCATTTTTCCATGAACTGCATTTAGCTTAGTTTTGAAGAAATCATTTAAAATATTTTTATGTAAGGTTATGAACTTATACATAATTTTGTGAGAATTTATCATCTTTATCAGAATTTATCATCATTATCATTTTTTTTTTAGATTTCAATTTCAATTTTAAAGAAACTATTCAAGATATTCATATTTCATACACTTATACAGATTTTCATGTTGCATTAATAATATACACTTGGGGGCATTCATGTCCTGTGGACATATTTCTAGTTTCTCTTTCCTTATTGTACAACATAGGTTTGTTTAAAAAAAGTCAGAGGAAATTCAGATGAGTAATGTTCACTTTTTTCTTTGTATATATGCCAGTATTATTATTTTCTAAATGAAGTATACATATCAGATCTTTGAAAATTATACAAATGTAAATATCATGGTATTAGGTGATTTGTTTTATTCACCAGCAATCAATTTGAAAGTTAAGTTAAAAAAAGTCAAAAATTCTGGAAATTTTATATTAATTGTCCTTCAAATGTTTGATTGTTTTTTTTTTTCTACGTAATTGATAAATTGATTTGAAAATTGATTCTTTTGACTTATTTTATAGCCTTCGTTGCAGATATATGTGTTCGGAGTAATTAAAAAAAAAAAGAAAAGTTAGGGAAAATTCGGACTAGCATATCTTTTTATCTGACTCATGAATATACCAATTATTCCCCTTTGTTACATTTTTTTAAATAGAGTTAAGACAATACATATCCAATTACTCTTAGTGCGATTTTATAACCGTTATTGTTGTCAAAGATAAGAAACAAAAATAAGCATATTTTTAAGAATACAAAGGAAATTCAGACGGTCATAGAGAGCTGTTTGAATGTTACATCTATGTATAAAGAATGACAAGCTTTAGTTGATACGCTACCCTTTTATATACACGATTCCTTTTCACAAGTTGTACAGAGTTATCTCTCTTTGCCACACGGCGGCGTTGTCGTCGGCCGCCATTATGGTGCTGACAGTGTGACAAGAGTGACACTGTGCCATATGAATAAAGAGGTGGCAGACACTGTGTTGTCTTTTTTGTACAAAGGCGAAAAAGCTGAAATACGATTGCTAAAGGTTGTCGGTAGAAAATAAACCCGCTGAGAAAATCTACATGTTTTAAAATATATATTTTATTTTAATTTTATCTATTTGATTTTATTTATTAGTTCGCTTACGGCTATACGCCTATAGTGCTATTTATCCAATTTCTTTTTATTTTACGTCATGTATAATTTTTGTACACCATGTAGTGTTAAACTAAAACAAATTAATTAAAAGAAAAAAAAAAAGAAAAAAAAAACTATATTTCGTGTTTAACAATAAAAATATGTTGCTTTTGTTAACACCTGTCGATAAAATCTAGACGACCGTTGTATTGTTTATCGAATATCGTTTTATTTTACTTGATGCATTATTATACTCCATATAATAGTGATATACTAAAAAAAAAAAAAATAAAATAAAAAGGGAATTTAAAGTTGTTCTTATTTAATTTATTTTAATTAAAACTCACCCTGGCCCTATATATATAGAGCACCTGCAGTATATATAGAGCACCTGCCGAGAAATCTACATGTATAATGTTAGGCTTTAAAAATATGACTTACATGTATTACGTTTATAACATTTGAGAAGGAAAAACATTTAAATAAAAATCTTTCTTTAAAATAGAGTGTGCTTAATATTAAACACAAACTTAATTAAGACGAAGGGTACTGAATTAATATATAAATTATTTTCATGAAAGTAAACAGTCATGAAATGATCTCACGTGCATGTGAGAACAGGGTTGTTGAAAAAAAAATATTAAGAAATAAGAAGTGTTGCATGTGCATAAAAGGACTTGTCGCATGCTCTGCAAAGAAGTCGTAATTCTAGGAAAAATTATCTAAAATCTTGTTTATCAAAATTTTGAATGCACACATTAAGGAGGTTGGATCCTGACATCAAAAGTAATGAGAATTTTTTATCAAGTATATTTTTAGAATTTATACACATAGCTTAATTAAAAATCAAAACAAAAAATCGGGGTCAATGCGCTTCTTTTGGTGCTACAGAGCATTTAGTTTGACCTTTTTGCACTGTAAAAACGTCTTACACATAAATCAGTTTTTTAAGTTTTTCCTCCGATATTTTTTATTCAAATAAGTTATGGGAACAAACATAGCTTTATTTCATCTTGAATAGACCCATTAAAAATTTTTGACAACGAAAAAAAATTTTAAATTACTCCGCACGTTCAATTATTTGACCTTTTTGCACTCAAAAAATTTCATTTTGCTAGCATTACAAATTTAACAAGCAAAAAACTCATTTAAAAGTAATGACATTTTACTGAATTTAAGAAGAATGGTTAAAAGTATCTTGTATATTCAGAAAAGAAAGTTAAAAGTGGGGGTCTGTGATGTTAATTTTTAGACATTACTAAAATAGTGCTAATTTTGAGCTTAAATTCGGGCTATTTTTTTCTTGATTTTCACAACATATTTGATTTATTTATCAAATATGATGATTGAATTCATGACAGTTTATTAAATATATAATTTAGGACCAGTATAAAACAGTTCACTGCTCAAAATAATTCTGTGTGCAGACTGCGTGTAAAAATAGGAATCCAAACTTAACATACTTTAAACACTTCGAAAGAGAAAAAATGATAATTTTCTTCTAAAAAACCTTCCGCCACAAAATATAGTTCCTCACTTTATGCTCTTGGTATGGAATTTAATCATGGAGTTTTAACTGAATATAGTTTATTTGGCATTGTAGAATCCAAATTTATTGTAAGAATTAAAACATTATGCAGATTTTTTTAAATATAGGTTAAATAAAATTCTGCTCAAAAGCTCAGGAGCGAACCTCTCTTCAAGAAACATTTTCGTGAAAAGAAGTATACCACACAGGGACATGGTAAAGTATAAATATTTTTTTTTATGTTTTTAAATGTTAAACCCCAAATGAATTTTAATAAGTCGAAAGCGTCGGCCGCAAATTAGAGGGGGTGTTACTGTGGAGTGGTTAACTCCGTTAAGTGTGAAAAAAAGTGGTATGCTTCACTAATAAAAGGGGAGGATTAGTCCTTCACTCACCCCTCTTTAAAACATGCTAGTTGGTGAGGAATTTATATATACTGTACGTATGAGCATACTGCAAAAAAATTCATCGTAAAAATAAGAATTAAAGCCTGAGTCAAAGTTCCAGTCGTAAAGCATTGGTTTGTCTAGATCTGCTTCTATGTATGTGTATTTTTCAAAACGGCTTTTCAAAAATATGTCTTATAATTGCAGATCTGCGAAACATCTCTCTCTCTCTCTTCTGTAAAAGATATTACAAACTTTCTTGTATCAATTTTTACTTTTTTTTATGTTGCTTAAGTTTATTTCAAAGAACTACCCATCGTCTCAAGCCACGGTCCGGAGCCCGCATATAGCTCTCTCCTGCCAGGATGGGAGAGGATCGTACATTTTGGCCGTGGTTTGCGACTATGAGAACTACCCGGCGTAATATTTTTCAACAATATACGTCGCTTGTGCTGGTACGGATCGAAGAATAAATAACATTTAAATACAAACAAGAATAAATAAATAAAATTAATAAATTAAAAAAAAAAACAGACCAACATATGTATCAGTTAACTCTATATTTACAAGTCTTAACGTTGTATTAGTATTACGCTAATATTTTTTAAACAAAAATAAAGAAAATATGGGAAAAATTGCTGCATTGAGTATGACCGAATTATGACGTTGTCAGCACCTTCATGGCGTCACGTCACGTGATCAAAACATGGTGGCGCCCATAAATGAGGTCAGAGCATTGTGTATATTTCCAAGTAAATGAATTCTGATTATAATTTGTGGGGTTTTTTTTTTTGTTATTTTCTTTAATAGCAATGTAATTTTTTCACAGCTTTTACATTTTTAAAAAGGGCATATTCAGAGGTTGTTGACATGGAAACGAACTCTAAAGCATATATCAAATTTAATGATTCCAAAACCACAAACTTGTCCTCTATCTAAGGGATCCTATCTTTTAATCTTCCAATTACTTTCAGGGCAGGTTCGAATTACCCTAAAAAATATGCCATTTAGATTTCCAATACATAAAAAATATGTGGAAATGCCATTAGTATGAAGGGTTTTTTCCATTTTAAACTTTTCTATCCCAATGCTCACTGCAAAAAAATCGAAGTTTGAAGATTCAAGGTTTAAATCAGCTGATACATTAACATGCAACACACACAATTCAACCCAGATTCTTATGCTTTTATACATTATAAAAAGACTCAACTTTAACATATATTAAGCATTTAAACATCAGGCTAAGAATTATCTAAAGAATTATTAACATGCAATTATTGTTTTTTCCGCACGTATTGTTTTATTCATTTGTTTTTAGATTCTCAAAATGGATACACGGCTAGATTTCTAGGATTCTATCTTTATATATCTAACACAACAGACAAGCTTGATGGTCTTCTCTGTTTCCACGACACAAAATTCAACAGATCCACTATACCTGCTGTCGTCAACATAACCTGTCCTGTACATGGGCAGTACATCATCTATTATAACGAAAGGCCCCAGGAATCCCCAAATGCTGCTCAATTTTCTAGCGGTGCTCATGCTGAATTGTGTGAGGTGGAGGTTTATGGTATGTTTTTCAATCATTCTAAGGTGTGGGCATAATATGAAACGCTGCTTTTCGGTGACATGTTCAGACTTTTAGTCACCATTCATTTGATTGAATGATGTAGGTTCATCCCTTGGGGAACTTAGTTGAAATACAATGGATCTTTTATTTCTAAACGAAAATAAATAATAAATAAGATTTGACCATATCTAAAATTATCTTTCGCTAAAGAACCACTGGATTAGAAAAGCACACAAGAAATTCAGACGAAGATTTGAGTCTCTAAAATGTCTCATAGATAGATGAAACTGTACGGAGTACAATTTTAACTTTTCATAAATAAGGAACGTTTGAAAATTGAAAAATAATAATTCTAGATACAAATACAGTTTAGGTGTATTATTTTGCAACTGCATGTACAGAATCATCATATAGCTACAATTAGTCAAACTGAAATGACCAAAACCTGAAGACTCACAAATTTGTTTAAACCATTGTTTGTGTCCTTGGGGATCATTGGGTTTTTAATGTGAGAGTTTATGTTTTAAATGTAATTTTTTAGCAAAGAAAGAAAGGCGATGGCCAATCATATAAATTTATAAACATGCCATCATGTGACTTTTTTTTTTTGGGGGGGGGGGGGATAGTATACAGTTATGAAATGGGTATGAGGGAAAAAGGAAATTTATGGTTTCCTGAGGGTTGAAACCATTTTTGCAGCCTCAAGAAATAGTTTGCTGCTAAGGGGAAGCATACATTTGCTATTTCCTGAGTACCAATTCAGTAACTGTTTTATTATACCAAGACAATCTAAGGAGACTTATTAAATCAGATACACAGATATTTTTTGACAATAAAGAGGCATTCAAATAAATTAATAACGGAAATTTTCTTAAATGTTCAATGTACAAATACCGAGAAAAATAAAATTAAAAGTTTCACAGACGTTTTAATGAATTGTCTTGCACATCATTTTGATATAATTCAAGTAAGACTTTGACATCGAATGTTGAAAATTTTTGACGTCATAGTTATATTGTGAATACCATTACGCCATAGACTCGAAATTTCGGAACGCTCCACCCACTGGGAAATTTGATCGGTTAAAATATTAATGAATATATCAATGCAGAAGTAGTCACAGGGTGAACATGTAGTTCAGGGAGTAGTCCTTAGATGGGTAAAGTGGTGCCTTCTAAGGAAAATGGAGAGTTTCATGGTATTCAATTTATATAGAGTGATAAAAGTATAAGTATAATAAATTTGAATTTGCCCCCCCCCCCTTAAAGCGTTGAACTAAGAAAAAGTTTGACAAGGAATTATTATAATAAAGTGTATCTAAGAGTCTTAAAAATATTTAAAGTAGTACAATTAATCATTATACATGTACGATATGCTCATTTCCAGAATATGAGTATTTATGCTTCTTCTAACCATAACATCCCAGCCTATCTTTGGTTCTCAGGATGTTTTGTTTTTACATTTGTAGGTTGCAATAACATAGGTTACTATGGACCTACCTGTTTGTTCCCAAGTCCAGATACAAACTGTCGTTATTGTCACATAGAAACAGGTGCTTGTCAGGGATGTAAACCGGGATACCAGGGACAGTAGAGGACAAATGAGCCGTCCCACGCGAAAAGGGCCCTTAAGGTAAAAATTTTCAAAATTGACTTTTCAATGGATTATGATAGATTATAGTGTAAAATAACCAAATATAAAGTTTGATTGAAATATTCAGAATAAGTACTGAGATAAAGGGAATCAAAGGTTAAGAAAATGTTAAAATTACCTTGTAAAATGACGTTGAAAAAAGACGTTCAAACTGACGCATTCATATCCCTCTCAGAAATATTTGAAATATATCTGATTGGAAAAAAACCTTACTTTATCACATGAAAACATGCATGAAAAATTTATGCATAAATCCCCTCTTTTCATTCTACAGGCAATATTTGATCTAATTCTTTTCGTTAAAGTATATCTAAATTATACACTTGTTGTCGAAACGGTTTCATTGTTATTAGTTAAATTTTAATAAAGAAGCTCTAGGTGTTTTGGACTCTAATGAGACAGAAGTTACATGTACATTTTAAGAGTGTCGACATTTTTGCATGTCACATAAATGTACATTTTGGTCATTTGTAGCACAGATGATTAAAAAAAATCGGATAAAAATTATTTTTGTTAGTTTTCTCGAATTAAACACAGATATTGGTGTTATATCGGTAAATACCCGGTGTGGTTTTTTTCTTTTTAATAATAAAGTTATACACTCGAGCTCGCCACGTCATGTTAGACGTGAATAATGCTCTGATATACGGTTCAGAGAAAAGTAAATATTGAATAAAAAACAAACAAATAAAAGATATTTTATAGACTTGTATTTTATTTACTTGTAGTTTGTGAAAAATATTTTTAATTTAAAAAAAAAAAAGAATCCGTAAGAAAAGACTGATAACATTGCGTCTTCCTTGTAATTATAGAGTTCATTGTTTGATAATTTTTCATCATAAGGATATAATTTTTGTTGTTTTATTCATGACCTAGATGAATTTATGAAAGCTTGAAGGGCGGATACAGAAAATAGATCGGAAAGGGGGGGGGGGGGGAGCATCTACAGTAACACAATCCATTTAAAATTTTCTGACAAGTTAAAAGAATGAAATTTGATGATGTTTTCTGACAAATTAAATGAAGTTTGAGGAAGGGGTAGGGGGCAATATGTACCTACAATAGTGAACATACATGTATGAATTGTCCTACGTTCGTAAATATTGACACAGGAAATAATATGTGCCGAGACAATCCCTTACCCCTTTTACATGGGTAATGTATGTTTCTTACGATATTGATATCAAAATTTTTCGGGGGAAAAAATTCTCATCTACCTACCTTCCTAATTTTTTCGTCCTGAGTCGGGAGCTCGAGAGGGCATACAAACGCTATATTTTAAAGTTGGCCATATTTCCTGCAATATTGGCGTAAACCGTCACAGTATTTGCACCACCTATTTGCTTTGTACCGACTTATAAGCAGATCAATATTCGTATGTCTTGCAGTGAACATGTAATCTTACAAAAACTGAGGATGACGATGTAATTTTCATGTTATCATCATATCTTTATACGGTCATTATAAGTTCAGAATATATTTTGAAGTTTTTTAATGTCACATTGATTCATCATGTAACCCCCCCCCCCCTTTTTTTTTTCGCTAAATTTCGTTTGAAGAAAAAAAAAAATCAAAAGCTTAGGCCTACATATTCTTCCATTCATTTTGTGGTTCGCAAATTTTGTGGAAGTATAATCGCTTAGTTTGGGTCTAATAAGATATTTCGTTGATCGAGAGAGAGGGAATGTTGGCAGTGAAATGAGTGGCGCTGTGGGCCGGAAGTCGCAGTGCCGTATTCCCAGGACTCTTCCCGAAATCATATACATGTATTGTAAATCTAAGGTAACGAGTAAATCAGTTTCCAAGTTTATGAAATCTTTTATCAATGGACAACAATTTTAACATTTAAGAAATATATGCGGGGACACAGACGGAAGTGGCCGGTAATGCGTCGGACCTCTGAACTGACACATACAATTCAGATACTGGTATATAACAGAATTCTTTGACAACAATTAGCGAATTGAGTGATAAAATGACATGTTTTGAGTAAATTACATAGTCTGTGAAAAGCTTAGATAAGATGCATGGAAATGAAAGAAGTTTAAATTTAATAATTATATACTTGATTTTTTTTTTTTTTTTTTATATATAGGACATTAAAAAGTGTTGAGGGCAATTTACACTCTGTCCCTTTATAGTTCACAACCGTTATCCAGAAAGTGTCACTAATAATTAAGTAATTTGTAGTCAAGGAATAAATAAAGATTTGCAATTAAATTGATAAAAAGAATATATGTTTTTAAATAATATTCAAACTAAGATTTATTTCAAGAGTCAATTTTGCACGTTGATAGAAGTATTTATCTCAGATTTAAAAAGAAATCAAATTTTCTCGCTGACACTAACAACCTGTCGTTTCAGGCTCATAAAATTTTGACATGTTGTACTAGTATCTATGAAACGCCCCTTGACCTTAGGTCTGATTTTGTACGCATTGGATATTCTTGTATCTATCTACTGAGTAACCTCTGGTGGTATAGCCGCATTGCTGAGCACTGCCATTTTAGCTCAATTTTCTTTTGTCGAAAAGGGATTAACCCCTTACCGAAATACATTTTTTTCTTGTCTTTGTTTGTTTGTTTGTTTGTTTGTTTGTTTTTTTTTTTTTTTTTTTTTTTTTTTTTTGTTTATATTTAACTTGTTATTTTAAGCCCCCTTTTTCCCTGAAAAAAAAAGAAGTCACGTACATGCCTAAAGAAATGGCCAAATATGATTCATTAAAAAAAATTAAGCAGTCATTCTTTCCATTTTAAAACAATTCAAAGATTAAACTGAACTTATTGCAAACCTTCCTACACAAAAATGACCCGGTATTTATTTTCATAACCTTTAATGCAGACAAACACTCCATCTTTGTATTAAGAAATTAAAATAATGATCAGATGCAATATTACAGGCAAGTAAATATGTATTCAATCTTTCAGATTTAATTTCCCCGTAATTTGGGGGTTTTATACATAATAAAGCATTATTTACTAGGAATTAAATAAAGGTATGTTGTATTGGGAGGGGCTGTGTCCATACATAATTTTTCAATGGTAATTGATTGATATAGAATGAAGATGTTCACTGAATGGCTAATTGCACCCACCTCTAACAACCCCACCCCAATTTTTTGTAGCAAAGTCAAATCCTCCCATATTAATGCATTTTTAAAAAAAAATCCTGGTCATTTTTTTTTTCGTTGCAGCATTTACTTTTTTCTCATTTTTTTACGGCTGGTCCAAGACTTTAACAAATTATACTAGATTTTATTCTCAAATTTCAAGAATTATGTATCTTAGGAAACACATTAGTCTCGTTCAACCAGAAGCTAGGCTGTCTCTGTAAACAGTAAAACTGACGGTTCTATACTTGAATGAGACAACGAACACATTGACCCGTAAATGACCGTGACGAAGGCAAATCTTCATTTATCGCGTTTATAATTGTTTTGAAAAAAATAAATCAGATATTATCTTCGTTAAATTTATGCTTTACGAAGAATCAACCTTTTCAAACTTCGTCATTTGCTACATGTAGAGCTGAACAAAATCTTAATCGCATATATATAAACTGATATGCTGGGAACGCTTTAAGATTTTTCTTTTCATTTATTGTAAAGTATTTCACTTCGGTTAATATGAATTTGTGTTAAAAAGGATGTGTACATGTAGAGGTATATATTAATTATGTGCATGTACGATCGCTTTCAATGTATGAAAAATCGGATAAAAAAATAGCACCGAATTATATCAGCAAAATTTAATATTCAATATTGGAAATGTCAATTTATATGGAACTTAGCTCTAAAAATTCATATTTACTTTTTTTTCCCTGATATTTCATTGGCTCTAAATGATATAAACAACAATGAAATTAAGTTGATAGAGCTCAGGTAAAAATGTTGTAAAAATATTTAACATACGCAACTTGCATTTTATGACGTTATCTTTACCGGCGTTTTTCTCATTATGACGTCAAAATAAATAAGGGCCCTTTTCGCGTGGGACGGCTCAAATAATTTTTAAGGAGCTGATTTTCGCTTACATATTTTAGTGTAAGCATTTCACTAGAGATCAATCTCTCATAATGTGTCTAACATACGCTGACATCAGTGCATTTGCAAAGCTTCAGAAGTATTTAACATTTTGGTGCTTTTAGATACTGCCTCAAAGCACAGATGTATTTATTATAGAATAATGGAGGGAAGTACGATTTTTCGCACTGCAAAGTAAATTATTATTGTGAGTTAAGGCTAGGTATAAGCGTTTCTATGCAAATGAGTTAGTAAAAACGCATAAGAGATCTTGTGACGGTACATATTGTAGTTTTGTACATATTGTCGTTGTGGACAATATGTACCTACCCTCACTGCACACATTGTCGTCCATCGGTACATATTGTCGCCGGCGACAGTATGAACCGAGACGAGCCTTATTATCTTCCCGCATAATGGACGACAAAATGTACAGTCAAGATGGTAGCACATATTGTCCTCGGCGACAATATGTACAGTCAAGGTCGGCATATATTGTCGTCGATATATTATTTTGACGAATATTTATCTGAGAAAGGAAAGAGTGATTGACAAAACACACACACGTACGGAGGGAGACAGACAGCATTACTCGCAATACTGTAGGCAGGAAACTGCTTGGTCAGAAAATTGTGCCCAGGATTGAGGTACATCATTATGATATGTCACGATACGGTAATTCTTGAGATATCTGATAAATCAGCCTATTCTTTTTCTTTCTTGTAATATATACTTGGAGATTGAATGCATGTACTCGTTTTTTTGTTTTTTTTGTTCAGTAATAATAATTATTTGGAAAGTATTTTTTGTGTTATTCTTATATACAACTATGTGCTGATATAATTGGTGTTGGGGTTCACATTTTTAGATCACCTGGACTGGAAGTTCAAGTGAGCTTTTCTGATCACATTTTGTCTGA